TTTGCTCCTCACCTTGTTAGAAAGCCTTCGCCTGTGTGACGGTGATTCATCTTAAATGCACATTAGGTCGGGCAGTTAGCTGATGCTCTTATCCACGCTCTATCTATCTATTAATCTATTAATTAGGGGGCTAATTAGGCCAGAAGAGAAGCCACTGACACCATGTCACTCTTAACCCCGTTTCCTACCGCTCATTACCTCACACACACACACACACACACACACACACACACGCCATCCTCCAGACTGTAATTAATGACGGGCTTTAACAGCAGCGAGTTGGCTCATACATCTCATCTCAACGCCGTAGGCTGAACTCAACCGGAGAACCCTTTCTGTTTTAAACTTTTTCTTCCTTTATTTTGTTTGCTGTTCTCACGTTCATTTTATTTTGAAGGGAGGAAACGGTTTTAAATAAATGGATAAACGCCTGCTAGTTTAGACAGTATTTCTGCTTTGACCATAAATCTGTATGTCATTTTAAAGGTTATTAATGATTAGTGCTCATTTTCTGAATTGAGTGCAGAAATAATGTATATATTCTATAGTGGAGGTTCTGGTTGACTATATAGATAAACTGAAAAAAACGTAACAGAAATAGTGACTTCTTTCCATCTTTACTGTCAAGTCTTGACTTTAAGCAAAGAAAATATACTCTGTGCTGCTTTAGTTGCTTTAGTGTTCTTTGTTTTAATTAATAATTTTGAAGAGAAAATTAGACTTTGTCAACATGCAATATCACATAGCGGAACATCACAGAAGATAGAGGATAAATAAAAAATAAAAGCACTAAAGGTCCTTTTATTTTGGGACAGGCCTTTAAATAAGGTTAATTTTTAGGTGATACATCATCTCTCCATGAATATGCTCTGTTTAGTTGTTATTAAAAAGCTCAACATTGATACCCAATTAATTAAATCAATTTAATCTTTTACTTTTTTCCTGCTCAGTTCGGCAGTAATCTAGGATTTCTCCAACAAGCTGCATCCTCTCCAGTCGTCATCCTATAATATCTAAATAGCTTTTAACATAATTTCATTCATATTTTAACGTTTAAGACCAGAAATTATTGGACTCTAATTTGTGTCTCTTCGGGTCTTGTTTGGTGGTAATTATGATAATTAGCCTGGTGTGATTATCGGGGTGTGTGTGCCGGCTTTCAGCTCAGTGTCAGTGCTCTGTTTTGGGGTCGTGGACAGATGACCCCTTTAAACACACACACACACACACACACAGAGTGAGGAGAGGTGGAGCAGCTGGCGGGACGTCCAGCGGTGGTCAGTCAGTCGGTTCAGGCCAAACACCCTCTGGCTCTGGACGAACAGGAAACTGTGTGTGTATGTAAACACAACTGGACAAAGCAGCCGGTCGGGGGGAACGTAGACACTCACACACACACACACACACACACACTCTGAACGCAAACACACACACAAACACACAATGAGGGGTCTCCTGAGCTCAAACAACAGGCAGGAAATCAGAGACGCACAGTGGGCCCAGTGTGGCTCCCTGAGTGACCCCCAAACAAAATCACATTCCGCCCCAATGTTTCCAACGGCGACCACAACCCGACACCACAGCGCAGCGGCTGATGAAGCTGTCAATCAACAGGTCCGCTCATCAAACACCGACTCGTTTAAGACAAAAAGAGCTTTAAATCACAGTTTTAAAATAGGTTTTCTTTATTTAGTCCGTCTCTCAATACTGTCTGACTTCCTTCCTCTCGGCTCCGAGCTCATTGGTTCCTACTGACGATTTAAATCTTAAGAAAACAGCTCACAAATATTTAGCTTAGTTTTTAAAAAGGTGGTACTCAAAACAGATAATGTACATAATGTGTACAATGATATGTGTTGGATTGCATCTAATTACACATTTAAAAAACATATAAAAAATAGATAACATTAATTCAGTATACAATAAAGTGAAAAATGGTTATTAATTTAATATTTTCAAGCCTCCAACTGATGAAAAATCGGGTTCACAGTAAGTAAAAACAAGTAAAATACAGAATTTTCTGGTTTTAAAACCCGAATATTTTAAGAGAAAATTTAACTATAATACTTTATTAGTTTATTTCAAACGTTCAAGTTTGCCTTGAAATTGGGTTTTCTTTCACTTTTTAATAAAAATATTAGTAATAGTTTAATCGACCATATATGTTTCTCTTTCTGTCCCCGTTTTACATCCCAACTATTGAATTGAATGAATGAAACATTGCAGACGATATTTGCACAGACTTGGTGCCTTGAGATAAATATCTCACGGCGTATTGTGGTTCTGCAATGTTAATATCTGAAGCTACAAACTAAATGTGAGAGTTTTTAGTCTCACTTCATGTTGAAAATTGGTCTTCAGATAGTGTGAAAATGTTTCTACTAATGGTCTCAGATCAGATGCTGCTGTGTGTTAAAGGCAGTGGATGTATGAAGTGTGTTTGTTTCCTCTGGCTGGTGTAATTTTTATCATTTAATTTAACTGACTGACACACATCGTAACCCCTCCGGGCTCCAGTTGACATATTTGCTCTGTGTGTGTGTGTGTGTGTGTGTGCGTGTGTGTGTGTGTGTGTGTGTGGTGTGTATTTCCCCTGTCACAAACCATCTCACCGGGACTCATGTTTAATTATCTACCCAGCATGCCTTGGTGCTGGAGCGCAGCGCTTCGTCTAATGGGATGTGAAAAGGGACGCACACGCAGATTAACGCACAAAATATGTGTGTGCGTTCAGGAGACACATGTTAACGCATACTGTCACACACACACACACTCTCTCTCTGTGTGGTTAATTAGTGCAATTAGCCTCTCCACTGTCCAGAGATATGTGTTTTCAGGACTTGTTAGCTCGTGATGATGTTTAGTGCAACACACAACCCAAACGCACACCCATGAATACCTACTGTTAAAACACTACACGGCCAAAAGTATGTGGACAGTTCTTCCACGACAACGACACGACCATCTCAGATATCACTGAGCTGCAGCGTTCACCTTCACACCGAAGCACAGCTTTATTGTTACGTGTACCAATAAACTGTTAGCTTGCTGTCCTCTCTGACTGACACACACACACACACACAAAAATACTCTCAGTTGAATAAAATACTTAACACATTGTGAAGTGACTGTTAAAGCCCTAAAACAGGCACACAACCCTGACCTTCTCTCTCTCTCACACACCGCCCTTAGCAACTCCAGCAGCAGGGGAAGGCATGCGTTTCCTGGGTCCTGTGGCCTCACATTTCCTCTCCGTCCTCTGGAGGACAGAAGGCCAGAGTCCCGCTGAGCACACACACACACACACACACACACACACACTCAGTGACACCTCCATGCTTTGTCCGGGGGCTGTCGGCCGTAGTCTCGTGCCCAGCCTCCCTACTCTGTCTCTGGGCTGGGGCAGGAAGGAAAAGCCCCCGGGACATTCCGTGATGCTAGCTGCTGCCGCCGCCCCACCCGCCACACCCCCGAAAACACACACACACACACACACACACACACACACACACACTGACACTCACTCGTCTCCAGGAAGAGAGTTAATGAGATTCTGCCAGGTTCCCACACCGACCCAAAACTCCTTCTTAACCATTTCTTTCGATCTTTGGTCTCATCCTCTTTTCCCACAGTCTCCCATCATGCACCTCACTGTCCCAACTGTCCTCCAAATACTCCAGTGTTCATAACGCCGCAGGGGCAAGGATGTCCTGATATCTGCCTATTTCATTTTACTCTCTTTGGACTTTGTATGGTGTTAATGTTGGACAGAAGAAACTGTTGAGAGATCAGATGAATTATGGAAATGTTTCCCCACTAGTTCCAATAGGACAGTAAAGTTCAGTTTTGTGTTACTTACATGTTTTTCTACAAACTTAAACTTAAAGTCGTGTAAATATCTGAACATGAGCAGCGGTACAAAAGAAGGTACGATTAGAAAACTCCAGATTTAAATCAGAAACTATCTGACCAAAGAAAACCTTGTTGTCCTGAGGTCCAGTTCTCTGCAGTATAATGTAGTTTTGTGTCCTGCTGTGTCGAACTGTTTCAGACCTTTTGATTCTCTCTGGAGTCATTTCATGGTGGAAGTACCAACCTGTGTGAAGCCACTGTTGTGTCTCCTTCTCCATTTCCTGCCACCTCACCCCCCTGGAGGACGTGTTGTTATTTTGTTAAGGAGGGGGAGGAGGAAAGAGAGAGGGGGGGTACAGCTCAATATCTCTCCCCCCCTCGGGGCCATCCTCCCGTCCCTCTCCTGAACCCGGACTAATCCCAGCGGTGCTGAATGAGCTGCTGTTTACACGGAGGGATTTGTGCGGAGATTAGAGCGATCGGAGCCGTGGATTAGACAGATCAGCAGTTAATGACACTCGATTGGTGAACAATGCGTCCCCCTCGCCTTTCAACCCGTCTGTCCCTCCGTCCCTCTGCTGTGTCTTATTTTACACTCGGAGGGCAGTTTGATGAGCACGTTGGACAGAAACAGCAGCCGGTCACAGATCAGAGAGAGGAGAAAGTCCTGGATTTATATTCCCCAAATATTAAAGGCCTTAAGTCCAGGGGTGAGGTTGTATTCCTGTAGAGCTGCAACTAATGATTATTTTCATCAAACATTAGTGCATAAAATGTCAAAAAATTGTTTTAAAATTTCACATTTCAGTCTTTAGATGTCTTGATTTGTTCAATTTAAAGTGAGAAAATCAAATATATTCACTTTTCGATGATGAACATCAAAGAAAAGCAGTAAATCCTGTGAATGTGGAGCTTTTTTCATGTTTTCTTCCTCAATAAATGACTGAAATGATTAATAATTATCAAAATAGTTGTAGATTATAATTCTGTTGATCAACTAATGGTTTCAGCTTCATTTCCAGACAAAAGAATCTAAGATTTTCATCATTTCTCTGGGTCAGGTTTTTAAAAAGTTTTATTTTGTAGGAATATCCGTATCACAGATGTCCGTATTAAACGTCTCTCCATCCCTGTGTTTTGTCTGTCAGGGAGGAGAGAGAGCGCTGGATCCGGGCGAAGTACGAGCAGCGTCTGTTCCTGGCGTCACTGCCTGGCATCGACCTGTCGCTGGGCCAGCAGCTGCTGAGGTCGACGGCCGAGGAGGACCTACGCACCGTCGTCCTGCTGCTCGCCCATGGAGCCCGACAGCAGGTCAACGAGACCTGCGGGGAAGGAGACGGACGCAACGCGCTGCACCTGGCCAGCCGCAAGGGCAACGTGGTCATCACGCAGCTCCTCATCTGGGTAAGAGACGTCACGGAGTATCTGAGTGTCACAAGAGAAACCCATTTATAGCAATTCTGTAAAATATTCTTTAAATTTGTTATTTGTCCAAGTTTAATTCTTAAATTGTATGTCAAACTCTTCAGATGCTCAAATGGCCTGGCAGGCTTTTAATTTGAAACATCTGTGCAGGAAGTTTGAGTCATTGACAGGAAGTCATCGATAAAAATGTTCAAGTAATAATAATAACTTTATTTATACAGCAAATAAACTTTAAAACTTTTACAAATTGCTTTGAATTAAAATAAAAAAAATAATGAATATTAAAATACAATAATAGGAGCAGATTAGAAACCATAATAAATAAAACAGAATAACGTAACTTCACTATCAAACATTTTCTTTTTGTCCAACCAAACCGTCTTAAATCCTCTTGTTTGATGAGCTGCAACCAGAGAATGAGATAAATAATGTAAATGATTAATTAACCATCATTAATTCTCTCTTTCTCTCAGTACGGCGTGGATCTGATGGCGAGGGACGCCCACGGCAACAGCGCGATGGCGTACGCCCGGCAGGCCAGCAGCCAGGAGTGCATGGACACGCTGGCTCAGTACGGCTGCCCTGACGAGCGCTACCCGCTCATGGCCACGCCCAACCTGTCACGCCGCAACACCAACCGCAACAACAGCTGCAGCAGCGCCGGGAGCGCTGCGCTCATATGACGAACAAAACAAACAAACCCCGATTTGGGAGAATCCTGACTGTTCATTTTGGGAACCACTACCTGTGACTTTAAGCCCCGCCCACCTCACCTGACAACCGCCTGTCGTTGGCTCGTTAGGACTGATTAGAACTGGCGGTGGCGCTGCGTCCGTGTGTCTGTCTGCGGGAACCCTCAACAGGATAAAGGCATGGTGGGAAATGTGTTCTGTCGTCGCTGGCTCATCGGAGCATTCTGGGAAATAGCCACATGACTCACGACAGCCAATGGCGGCCAGTCTGAAGCTCTAGGGACGTCATACCTCATCAGCTATAATTTAACACTACATGAGAAGTTCCCGCTCAAACTTTAAACGCCATCGTCTCGCCAAAAAAAAACATATCGTCAAAACGTAACGAAGAAAACTGTGAGACGAAGATATCACGAAGGAAACGAGAGGGGGAGTCTTCGTAGCATGTCCACACACACTCGGTGCTTTACGAGGAAGCCATTTTTGAACTGCACATCATCTTCATCATCACCTTCAGTCGAGGACTCCCTCTCTGCAGCGTCAGTGTTTCACCTCCTCTCACCTCCATTTTATTTTATGAATTCTGTGAACTCTCCCGCCTTTTACAAGTTTTTTTGGTTTTTTTTTTATGTGAAAAATATCTCGATGTAAAACTTTTAAGGTGAAAAAAAAAAAGATATCAGTTCTTAGAGGTAAAACAGAAGTGTGATAGATCGCATGTCCTAGACACTTTTTCTATTTTAATTTAAAGCATTCTTCCTGGATTGTGTATATTGTATCTAGATGTGTATTGCTGGACCAATCGTTAACAATGTCAACATGGGGAATGGGATTGTTTCTCTTTGTTTTCGGGTGTATAAAGTCATTAAGTGTACAGAAGCTCTTGCCAGGCTCAGGGACCGGAGACTGTCGATCATAAACGCCCCGTCGTCTTTTCCCAGAGTCCTTAAACCTGGGTTCAGGGTTTAAGTTGCTTTCAACTCACTCAGAATTTAAAACGTCTCGGGCTGGACGATAAGATGTAGAATATATCTCATGATATATCGTCTTCTCTTGATAACTGTAAGTATAACAATACGTAATGTTTTTAGGGCGACAACTAATGATTTTCATTATCGAACAATCTGTAGATTAATTTCTCAATCAATAGACACATTTTTGTGTGAAATTGCTCATTTTGGCCAGACAACCGCCCAAAACTCAAAGATATTCAGCCTTCTAAGAGCGGGAAGTCCAGAAGATAAATATAATGATATAAATATTGAGGGCTGGAACCAATAAATTAAGATATAAAAATAGTCGATGCTGCTAGACAAGTTCGTTTGCAGCTTACAACTTAAAGATTCTGGACTTCTGAGCTGAAATCTTGGGCTAACTGGATGGTTGGACATCTGGCTAGATGGTTCACTTTAACTATATTGCATTCAGATTATTTTAATGATGATAAACGGAAATGAGTTACTTTAGGTCAGCAAATTATTCATAGCAGCCCTAACTGATTCCATCCAGGAAGTCACAAACAATTAAAGGGTCCAGTGTGTAACATTTAGGAGGCTCTGTTGTCAGAAATGTAATATAATAATCATAAATGTGTTTTTATTAGTGTATAATCACCTGAATATAAGAATTGTTGTGTGTTTGTTACCTTCAGCAGTGGGCGCCATGTTGAGCCACCATGAACGTTTTCTCCACCGCAGTTTCTCCCTCGCGTTTGGAAAGGGAAGGTGAAGCGAGTGTGCTGCAATCTGTAACTACACTGCTAGATGCCGCTAAATCCTACACACTGGACCTTCAACGCACAGTCAACCAATCCACGCGAATTGTGTTACAAAACGTTTAGCCATACGTCACCAAATTGACTTCCTTGTTCCTGGTTGGTCTTTTTTGTGACGTCACTTGAACCAATCCAAACGGACTTTCTCACGCAATTTTTTAGAAGGGCTGTCATAAAATCAGACAATTTAGTTTGCAACAATCCCAAAAAGGTGGGGGCGTTCTTTGTGTGCTGTATTTTATGGCAGTGGAAAAGCCCATTATCTGAACTGACTGAATTGTGAGCATCTTAAACCTGAGCCTACGTCCCGGTCAAATAACATTTAATTTAAAGTGTCTCTAAAGTGAATTTTATTGCTTTAACATGTAAAAAATGGAAAAGGGAAGAAAGCAGCTAACAGCCACACGGAGCGAAAAGGGAATTGATCTGCTTCTTCTCGTTGTTCAGGTGTTTTTGTTCTGTGAATCTGTGAGTTCAGTTCACGCAATCTGCTGTCAGATCTGACAAATCGGTGACGATGAGATGTTTGACTGGAGGAGACGAGCTGTTTGTTAGAAACTCTAAATCTTAAATTAAAGTAGTCTGTTAAGAAAACCGGATATGAATAACATGCAAGTTCATAATTTGATGTTTCTGTGTATAAAAATGTGTCTATAATGTTATCTGAATGAGCTCACAAGTTCCCTCCAGTCCCATCTTTTAGTCTTTCGTCCGTCCCGTCCAATCAGACAGTCTCCCTGATCTGCTCAGCGAATCACTAAGAAGGGCTTTTTCCTCGTCTCTGGTCTGAAAACCTCCTTGTTGTAAATAATGCTCTCTTTCTCTGTCACTTTCTCTCTTTCAACGGCGACGTCGTGTAAATTAGAGAACACAGGAAGTACTTGCTGTTCGCCGATATGTCAGGTTGCAAAGTGGAAGTGATTTACGCTAACGTGTGTTTGTGTGGGGAACAAACATCCCGGCGAACTGAATGTCGCGGCTCAGTGTTGCGCCGATCCGTCCAGGGCAAGAAGTTCAACTTTTGCGGGTAAGCCAGGCATCTAAACCAGTGGTTCCCAGCCTGGAGGTGTTTGTTGAGCTGCAGTTCTAGTCTAAAGGGTCAGAAGAAGGTTTACAGGATGAGAATTAATAAAAGAACAATAATTTACATTAAGGGCTGTAGAAAGACCACTTAAGTCTAGTTTGAGAACAAGTCTAGACTGAGTCCAAATGTATACAAGAGATGGGACAGAGTGGGAAACACTGTAGTCAAGACCACCTTTGTCGAGTTCACGGAAATAAGCCAGGAAAATAACCTGGACTTGGTCTAGATATGGGTAAAGGCGAGAGTCCTTCAAAGCTACATGGATGTAGGAGGTTTGAGCTTAAGGGAGTCACAAACCACAAAGGTTGGGAACTACTGGTCTAAAGATCCACTTGTAAAGAACCATTACACTTCGTAAGGTTAATTTCAGGTCTCGTCACATGTAGACAAAAATTGTGAAAAAACTCTGGTGTCGTCGGCGTAGATTTGACTGAGCGTTGATTTCTTTCGGTAGCTGAATGTGAAACATGTCGACTGAACGCTAACTGATCAGGATCTTCAGAAAAGAATCTGCTTAACGTCGACGTTTGTGCTTGATGACTTTTACTTTCAACACTATGCGGAGCATCGACTGCTCGTCTCTTTGCTCTCTTTACTGTTTCAAATCTTAAACGTTGCTGCGGAGGTTGAGGAGCAGCTCTCAACCAGACTGTGTATCCAAGCAATATTCATAAACGCATCAATCACTGACGTAACTTCATACGCTGACATTGCTGCAATATTCCCATCAAACCACAAACACTCTGCCTGTTTGTAGAAATGTAAGAAAGAGCTAAAAGAAACACATGAACTCAAAATTGTCCTACTTATGCCTTTTTTCTTACATGCCTGCCTTTTAAGTTCCTATTGTCGTCCAACCTTGTTACTGTACGTGCCACGGCCCCGTTTCCTCTTCCTGTCATCTGAAAGATGGCGTTTGATCTCCCGTAAATACTAAATGAAGGGGTTCGTCCGCAACTTGTGTTTTCAAAGTGTTTGATTTTATGTTTTTATATAAGAATCGTACTGCATCTGTCCTGAACCGGGACAGCAGGACGGGGCAAAGACGTCCTTTTATTTATGACAGAAATGCACTAAATCTGATTCAGTCCGTCTTAACACTTTCCACTACAGCTCTTCTCTTTTCTTTTATTGGCACAAACTGTCATTTGCTTTTTTCTCTAAGCGGTGGCAGCTTCTGGCGGTTTCCTCTAAACTGATTTGTGCTCTTATTTTGAAAAGCATCTAAATTCTGAGCAAATTGGGAATTCCCATTCATGTGAGCAGAGAAAGCTCAGTAACATCTGCTCGTAAATGATTGTAGGCACCAAAATAGTCTGTCAAGGGGTTTGTGGTAATGCTAACTGCTAGCGACATGTCTTTTCATTCTGAGACTAAAAGTTGGGAAATGTCTTTATTTTGGTTTACTTTAGCAGGATAAGTTTGTTTTTAATTGTTAATTAGCATTATCCCATTGAGTTTGTCGATGGGATAATGCTAATAGGAAACATTGAGTCACTTTACACGCAGTTATCTTTACCAGTAAAACTTAAACTACAGCTAGTGATCAGTTAGCTAAAGCACATTTGCTAAATTCACGAGTCATCTCGTTGCTAATTTGTGCTCAAGGTGTTTTGAGACTTTAAGCCACTCTGAAATCTAAAGTCTGTTTATTTAATCTCATTGGAGCGGAGAAAGCTTATTTTAACTTTTTATAGCCGAATATGCTGAATCATCGGAAGCTAATACAGCTAGCAGTGAACTAGCAAGCGAACTCTTGTTATTGTAGCTTAAGTCAGTTGAGTCTTAAGTGTTTTTCCATCTGAGAAAAATAGAAATTGTTCAAGGAACAGAAACATCCTGTGAATCTACAGCGACCGCTAGCGACCAGTTAGCATTGTTAGCTTTGTTTTTCTTTGTTTTTGCGTTGCGGTTTCCTCTGAACTGATTCGTGAGTTTAACAGCTTCAAAAAGGTTCGAGCCCCTCTGGAATCCACATTTATCTGATCTCGTCGCAGCAGAGAAAGCTCTGCAATATCTGCTTCTCACTGTTTGTGTTCACAGAAACTGCTGAGTCATCTGTCACTGAAGCTAACTGCAGCTAGCGCCGGACACGTGAACCCGTTCCTCAACGCGAAACCGGACGTAGAAAGTTGTAAAATGCTCAGCGGCGTCCTGTGAAGCTCCGGTTGCAGCTTAGTCGTCTGTTAGCTATTCTCAGCTAAGGGACAGTAGCGTGGCGCAGTATGTTTTTCTGGCGGCGTTCGCACAGACGTGAAGCTTTAGAGTGAAAGTAAAGCTGCCTGCTTGTACATAAACCCCGTCCGTTCGCCGGCGCCACCTCATCTGTACATAGACTTCAAACAACAAGAAAAAAAACGACTCAGTATGGTTTAATGTTTGGTTTGTCTGGTTGTGTTACCTCTTGTAGGCTTTACCCCCTAAGCCCCACCCGCCAGAGCTGTCCTCTACATTATTTATAAACGCACCCTGTGGGAAAGACTCCGCCCCCCTCAAACCTACGTTTTTGTATATTTTTCTCTTTTCTTCTTATTGTTATGATTTATCATCCAGACACATTATTGTCCTTATTGTTATTCTAATTATTATTGTTATTGACTTTTTGTTGGCTGTACAGTACCGTTGTGGAAAAATTTTACTTAATACAGAGTCTTCTACTGTAATGTGTCTCTTTTCAATAAAGACAAGAATAATGCTTCTTAATATAACCTCACGTGTTCGTGCTCTTTTCTTTTTTAAACGTCAGGAACATTTTATTTTTGGAACCACTGGCTCCATTTTTGTGTTTAATCACATTTAATTCACCATAACTATAAAGCATGGCATAATAAAATCTTTACATGTAATACAGATTAGTTTTGGTGCTTTTTACTCTGACGTAAGTAACCTACGTACCAAATTATGTTCATTTATTTTACGATTTTTACAGTGAAAGTTCTTTTTTTCAGTCGACTGTGAAGTGAAGTGTGTGTGGGTTGTGTTTGCTGTTGTCTGGTAATTAGATAATACCCTGCTAATCCCTCTTTAGCCCCATGTTTAACAGGAAGGGACTGTGTGTGTGTGTGTGTGTGTGTGTGTGTGTGTGTGTGTGTGTGTGTGTGTGTGTGTGTGTGTGTGTTAACAATAGAGTCCAGAGGTGGCAGATGGAGCCGCTTCAGTCCACACAGGAAGTTCCTGCACAAAGTCGGGAATAAAAATCTGCTGTTAAATCGAGCGAAAGACGTGGCAGTATTTTTATTCCTGTCATGTTTGTTAAACATCCACTTTAGTAGTCTTTTCCAGAGCTTTCAACCCTTTTACAGAACAACTCGAGGTCCACTTACTGGTCCTGACCTTTAACAAACATCTTGTTTTTTGTGATTTAAAATTAGTGTTTTTTTAAATGGAGTTTTGAATGAGAGAATTTCCTGTTGCATCTGATTCCTTCTCTTATGATTTTGGATGATTTTGTTCTACAATTTTGAAGATTTCTGGGGCCTTTTTTCTCTTTTTTTCCGATAGAGAATTGACAGTAAATCATATTGAAGGGGATGACACACAACAAATGTCCCCATCCAGACTGATGCAGTGCTCAGGGACCAGGATGCAGAGTGATTTTGCCCTTTTTAATATTTTTTAAAAATGCAGAATTCTGAGATTTTCCTTCTTGACAGCAGAAGTAACCACCACAGAAGAAGAAGACGACACACACTTTGCTGCAGCTCCGTGGCTCCGTCAGGATTAATCAGCAGGAGTTGATCTGAAGCCCGGGCAGGTTGCTGTTAATTTAGGGGAGGAGGAGGAGGAGGAGGAGGAGGAGGGAGGCTGCAAACTGCGGTGAAGAGCCGAGGCCAGGGCCAATCCCCCCGGGTCTCATTTATCAGCCGACCACGACGGCTCGAGTTGATTACAATTTGCAAAAAAATTCATTAGTCACACACACACACGCCTGTATCTGTTCACACCGCAGGTTAAAGTCCCCAAATGTAGACTCTTGTCCCTCACACGTTAAAAAAAAATCACATTAAACCTGAAAAACTGAAAATGTTAATTTCTGATTTCATTCAGGGTCCAAAAAAAAAAACCACGTTTGTTTTGTGTTGATTTGTATCAGATATTAGATATCAGATATTATGTTGACATCATGATTCAGCACATCTTAATATCTGTGATGTTGCTGAGTAAAGAGTGTAAAGTCACAGCCTGCGTCCATGCAGAAATCACAGCGTTTAAACAGAAACATTTGTCAGAATTAAGGAAAAAAATACAATAATTATACATTTTCTGAGACATTTTGTGCTGTAGTTCTTCACACTCTTTAGTTTGGGGGGATTTTTTTTTATGTTGATAATTGAAGCAGCAGAGATTTTTAGTCCCTAGTATTAAAAAAAACACAGATTTGATGTTTTATGAAATAATTTGGATTGTTTTTCCACAGAAGACATTATATTTCTATCCAACTGAGCAGAGCTAACCAGTAAACTGATTTTAAAGAGTAAAATTGGTGGAATTCTCCTTTAATTTCGAGTCAAATCTCTCGTTAAAACATCAACATTTTTCATTTTCTCCTTTTATTTTCTTGAAAACATTTTCTTCTGCTGGAATTCATTTTTCATTTAGTCAGAAAACAGGAAAAATTATCTTTAAATTGTCCGTCTAAAGATTTTAGTTTCAAATTATATTAAACCGAGAAAAGCAGATAATGTTTAATACAGTCTGTCTGTCAGTCTGTCTGTCTGTCTGTCTGTCTGTCTAGATTTTGACCTTTTTTTTTTGATGATTTATTTTGGTATAAAAATTAGATTAAACTTTATGGAACACCAGCTTCCTGGTTTACTTGAGAAATGTGATTTTACTGCAGTTGGTTTCTACATTTGAACCTCCAACAGGTAAAATCCGCTCTCTTAGTTTAACTTTATTTAATGTTTTTATTTATTGACAACCAGCTGCTGCCGGGCGCGCGCACTCGACCTTAATATTATGCCTTAGCAGCAACGTGACCGCGCACTGTGGCTCGCACCCCGTGAACCCGATGTTACCACAACAGGCTGCAAATTACCGTGACCTTTGACCTTCACCGTCACACCGACAGACAAGAAATGTGCTCTGATTTATGTTTCCTTTTTTTATATATATAACCGACATTTTCCACCCAAATGAGATGAATTCTTTCTGTCTGTTTATTAATGATATTAATAATATATATAACAATATATTAATAATATATATATATATATATATATAACAATATATTAATAGTAATAAGGAGAGGTTTGATTTATGGACATTTTACAACCTTTCTCGGATCAGATAGATTTGTGGCCTTCAAAATAAAATACGGACCGCATTTATACACCTGTCTGTCATATTAGTTAAATATAAGTGTTTATATATTTTATTAAACATAATCCAAATTGAGAAGAAGTGTTTTTTTAAAGATTAAAGATTTTAGTTTTAAAAGTAAACGGTTGTTTAGTTAAAAAAATAAAAGAGAATAAAGAATAAAATGAGGTCATAAATCCGGAACATGAATGGAGACAGTGCAGCTGTGAACATCTGGTCACGTTTCATCTTTTAATTCACACTTGTATATCTTTTCTTTTTTTAAACTCCATACGTCAGGGAATGTTAGTTACTTTTGCACAATTTTATATAAATAAATTAGCAGCGTCATTTTGTCCAAAAGAAGAAGAAGAAAAAAAAAAACTCAGATGAAATGAAGCAAAAACAGTTTGATCCAAAGAGCAAGAGAGGGCTGGAAACCGAGAGCAATATTTTAAAGAAGGTGGAATCTGCACCGGATGTCCTCAGTTTGGTCCCGGGTGTGTATTTACATGTTTGGGGGGGGGCAGGTTGTCTCTTCATCCTCCTCCTCCTCCTCAGCGGCGCGTCACCGCTCCGCGTCTTTACGCACAGTTTTTGGTGTCTCTCCAAAACGGATCAATACTGCGCTTCCTGCTTCCTCGTGCAGAGAAATGAGCAGCTGAACGAGTCACTGAGTCTGTTTTCATGTTTTCATGTTTTCATGTTTCCTGTAAAGAACAAATGTTTTATTTTTTCTTCATTTTCTGGCGATTTAAAGTAAAATAATTAAGATTTGTTAATGTGACTTTTCAAAAACGTCCAACTTTAATTCACATGTATTTGTTTTATGAAATGCTCCTAATAAAACCCGAACTCCCTGTTCTGAACAGTTCTAAAGCAGCTCTTTGTTCGTTTTTAAATCCTTTTTGTTCGTTTTAACCAGAAAGCAACAACACGAAGATCAATTACTGATAATCGATCAGACTCTGATTTCCTACAGAAGATGTGATTTCAGTTTGAACTCTTTCCTGTTCTAATCTTTATTATTGAGTGAAATGTTTCTTTAGAGGAGCTTCAGTGGGAATAACAACCGTCTGTGGATCACAATTACCCATCAGTCACTGCGCTGCTCATTACGAGTCTCTCTCTTCTTCTACGGTCTGGCCTGCTCCATCTGCTGGTGCTGACTCCTTATTGCGAAGCGGCTCACGTGCACCGGGATGGGGACCACTATTTTGGGGTTCCGGGACGGCTCCCCGGATTTGTTGTTGACGTTTCCGGCTTTGACCCGTTTCCACTTGGCGCGCCGGTTCTGGAACCAGATCTTCACCTGCACCTCGCTCAGCTTCAGCGCATGCGCGATCTGGGAGCGCTCGGTCAACGACAGGTACTTCTTGCAGTGGAACTCTTTCTCCAGCTCCAGCAGCTGCTCGCTGGTGAACGCCGTCCGCCGCCGCCGGTTCTTCCCGCCGCCGCCGCCCCCCGCGCCGCCGCCCGCCCCGGAGCCGCCGCCGGTGGAGCCGTGCATGTGCGGGCCGTCGTCCAGACCTCCGCCGCCGTCCCCGTCCTCCTTGTGGCACATGGAGGTGAGGTTGTCGTCGGAGCTGTAGTCCAGGTCGCTGTCCATGGAGAAACTCTCATCCTTCCGGCCGCACTCGTCCTCCTTCGGGTCTTCTTTACTGTGTGCTCTGCCTGGGAGGAAGAGGAGAACATCTTCATCACCAGAAAAATAATCAAACACACAAAGTTCATCAAATCAAATCAAATTTAAAAAAACCTGTTTTAGTTTTTCCTGCCTGATTTCTGATTCCAAACACATCAGAAATATTTGACCATCATCTAATAATTAATGTCAACAATATCTACCCCCCCTCAGGATGGAGAGAAAACATCCCATAAAATGGAATTAATTATCTTAATTATAAATTAAAGTTCAAATATAAAGTCACGTTTTTAAATCCGGATACGGAAATAAAAGGGGGGGAGGGGGGGGGGGTCGTCCTGTCCCGTGTCAATATCCATCATCTGATCAGTGTTTGGATCAGAGTGGATCACCGGCGGGAAGCACGCGCTCTGCAGGAGTTTTTATTCTTCACGCGTAATTACGCACGGAGCGTCTCCGCGCGGCCCTTCTCCCGCCGCTCACACCGAGTTTGTCCGCGTGTGAAACGGAGAGATTGAATCAGAAGCGACAGAATCCGGAACAATAAAAGCCACATTTAATAATTCATCCCAGAACTCTGTTACATTAATAAAACAAATATTAGATATAATATATATATATTAATCTGAAACATTTCCACGACTTTATCTGATTAATGTGATTTCCAGATTATTGATCCACTGAGGCCTCAAACAGAATTATTGATTATTAAAAGCTCAGACAGAAAATATAAATATAAATATAATGAATCTGTTACTGCTCTCATTTCTTTCTTGGTCACAAAGTGAATCCGCATTTAATAAGAGAGTTTTGGGTTTTAAAAACATCGTAAAGTATATTTTATTTTTATGAATAAACCTTCAGATCAACCTGAACTAGAGCTGCAATAAGATCTTTATTATTGTTATTGTTGGTTTCATATTTCTTCTCTTGTTTCTTCTAATAAAACATCCGGAATCTTTTTACAGCTCGGACAAAATGTCAAATGTGAATTAAAGACATTTTTAAAGACATTTAAAATGTGTTGGAGACATTTCGCTCAGAAATAAAAGAAGCTGCAGAATCAGACTGTCCCCAGCTGATGTTTTAAAACCGGCTCTGAGGTCTTAAAGTTTCCGGTTTTGTGGCTCCGGTTGGTCCCGGGTAAACGCGCCGTACTGAGCCCGGACTTTGAGGGCCTGTTTCAGGTTAAACAAGAAGGTCAACCCGCCTACCTGTGGACGTTTGCACCGACGTGTCCGTGTCGTGGAAAGCCTGCAGCCCCGCGGACTCTTTGCCCTGCAGGAAGCTCTTCCCGTCCTCCGCGTCCAGACGCAGCTCCTGAGCTTTGTCGAAGACCGCGTGCAGCGCCTGCGAGCCGAACTTCCGGGCCGCCTCCTGGTGCTGCTGGGACGGGGAGAATCCGCCGGGCAGCGACGCCATGAGCGTGGAGGTGAGCGCCATGCCCTGCGTCAGGCCCTGCGCCAGGCTGGAGCAGAAGCCGCCCTGCAGGCTGGAGATCTGCGGGTGCGGGTGGTGGCCGGCGGGGAGAGCCTGCTGCAGGGCCGGGGGCGGCGGCGGCGGCGGCTGGAGCACCACCGACCGGTAGGGCATGAACATCGGGTAGCCAGTGTAGACAAAGTGTCCCGGGCTGGGCTGCGGGGGCCCCCCGATCAGAGAGTCAATGCTGAAGGCGGTGGTGCTTCCGAGTGGCCGCTGCATCACCATGAAGGACGGACTGAACGCTGCGCTCATATGAACGACCGCTGCAGCTCGGAGGAGGCCGGAGAAGAAGCGCTGTGGACGGCTGCGGAGGGACGACAGACCCCCGGTGGAGCCGCGGCTGTCACCGCCTCTGTGAGGGAGCCGGACTTTAGAGGAGCGATAATCCGATTAAACAAAACCATTCCATCGGTGCAGCGGCGGGAACAAAGTCAGGAAGAGGGAATTAATAGAGAAACTCAACACGTCTTCTTCCTGCTTTTTTAGTTTTCCCACAAAAATTAAAAAAAGATCCCCAGAACCGGCACACAGCTCCGGGTTGCGTCGCTCCGCGGCTCCGCTGACGCACCGTGCGCACTTTGGAGAGCGTCCTGCGAGGCTCCACTTCAACTTCACCGGACACCGATCTCACAGCACCGGACACTTCTCCCTCACTCACCCGCTGAGACAGAGTGTGTGTGTCAAGTGTGTCGGGAAGTGTGTGTTTCCTGTCCGCTCAGCGCGCGTCCACACAGCTTTTGGATTTAAATTGCGCTCCCCTCAGTTTAATTGCGCTGCCTGCTCCGCGCCAGCTCCGCCCCCTCGCCGCTCTCTGGCTCCTGATTGGCCGGCTGGGATGATGAGACTGCTCGCCTTTGGTCTCCTGGATGAATGCCAATTACACAAATTGGGACCACAGGCCATTTAAGAATGTGAAAACACATCATCGTAAATAATAAGCTGTATATATTCAGTAAATAATCTGTGTGTGTGTGTGTGTGTGTGTGTGTGTGTGTGTGTTCTGTTTATACATTATATGCAGTGAAGTATCTTCAGCACATATTCAACACCAAAAGACGATTTTCAGTTTTAAATGAGTGATTCTATCAACCTAAAGTCTTTATTCAGTAGATTTTACTCTGAAAGTCATCGCAGTCACTTCCTGTCCAGGGGGATTACTGACAGACTCTCAGGTCAGTTCGGAGTCATTTTAATTAAAGTTCATTTACAATTTAATCACAAAATCAACTCAAACTAACTCGACTGAAGTAGATCTGATCAATTCTCTCAGAGGAGTTCGTTAAAATACAACACGCCAAATCGCCTAAAATGACCACTAAATTCAAAATGGCTGACTTCCTGTTGGATTTGGGGTGTGGGTCCAAGAGGCTTTGTTGTTTCTCTGGTCGTGATACAAATGTGTACCAAGTTTTATTCGTATCGTACCTTTTTGTCCCAGGCTGTAAAGATGGACATTTTTAATATGGAGCCTTATGGAGACTGACTCACTGCTGGAGCCTCTGGTGGCCGTTAGAGGAACTGCAGATGTGAGGCTCAGATAACAGCAGTTTAATCCAGCTGTGGTTCAGAAACAGCTGGTTTGACGACCAAACTTAAAACATATCCGGGAGGTTAATCAATAACTGGATAAGTTTGTCCTCCATCGTATTATATTTCACGTATATTTACTCTTCTGTTCAACAGTAAGAGCAGAGAACAGCTGATAAACTGGAAACAGTGAACTCAATAACTGTACTTTGATTATATCCTGTGAATATTGATCAGTGTATGTTTTCTTACCCCTAACTTGGAAACCACTGTCCTACAGCAGCACTACAATAATGTATCATTAATAAGAGAGTTAAAGCAGATATTTAGAAGTTCTTCACTTAGTAACTGTCAGGATGAACAATATGCCAATACGATAACTGATCATTTCACATGTTTGTATTTTTAAAAGAAGTTTATAACCTGAATCCTGATGGAAAGAGAGGAGCACAGACAGCCAGTTTAATATTCCATAGCTCTCAGCTTCATTGTTTACAACAACAACAACAAACAACAAACAATTCATTTATTTTTTCTGCTGAAACTTCACAAACATAAAGCTTATCAATCGTTTTGGATATAAAGTCAAGATCAATTATTATTATTATCATTATTCTGGGCCGATAATTGATCAGCTGTAATGTAATTATCCTGATAATTCATTAAACTATAAATTTCCCATCTGATAATTATCGTGCATCATAGTAACTGTAACTAATGACAGTAACGTATTGGCCCTAGTGGCAGAATGAGGTATTACAGCATTAAGAGTTAGTATGTGGAGCCGATGTTAGACCTTCAGCTCTCGTTTGTTTCTGTGACATCGTGATGATGTTTGGAAGTCGTCGACATCCATTTCCTCCTGAAACTGCACGGCGGCGCTTTAAATCACAATATTTGTTCCCGCGCCAGCAACCGACTCCGTTTTATTAATGAATGCTGTAATGGCTTCCTCCTCAATTAATACAAACCTCGTCGATGCCACCGGCGCTCACGGAGGACGCAGACGACCTCTGACCCTGAGTGGAACTCCCAGTGGAGCACCTCTTCCTCCCCTCCTGAGCCGAGTCAAGGGCATGCATGGATACCCCCCCCTACCTCCCTTCCTCCTCCTCCTCCTCCTCCTCCTCAGGGTCACTGGGACACGATCTCATTAAAGGCGGCCTGATCTGCAACTGCAATGCAGACATTAAATAGCAGTATTTTTCAATTAGGGCTGACAAATTCAATCAAAATTCCATAGATTAGGATGAAATGAGGCATGGGTCATTTACAAGGGAATTTAATTGCACGGCCATTAGACAAATAGTACAGCAGTCTCTGTCTCATTATCAATCATGCGGGGGCATCAATAGTAAAAGGTTGTAAGGCAGGGGAGGGGGCAGCGGGGTGTATGAGTGTAAGTGTCCGTGCACGGGGAGCGTGCCCGTTAGAGCGCTGCCACCACCGCAGAGCAGCTAATAAATATCCTCTTTTGTACTTATAAATTATCCAGTTTAATTAACAACATGGATTATGATTGGACTATGATTTAATTAAACCTTTCCTGCATGCAAGCCGAGCGCTGCGATCATCCATTATGAGCCAGGGGGGGAAAGGGGAAGGAGGCGAGAGGGGGGTGAAGGTGTGGTGGTGGTTGTGAGGTGAGGGAGGGTGTGTGTGTGTGTGGGGGGGGGGGGCAGTTGGAGTGTGCACTAAATGAAGCTTCCTCTAATAGGAGCTGCTTACCTGGTAGGATCATCAGTCGCTGCAACAAGCGGCGATAATAGGCCGCTGAATGGCTGAGGAGCGTTTACAGAAATAAACCAGGACGCAAAAGAAATAACCAACCTCTACCCCCCCCCTCACCCCCTCCCCTTGTATTTAAATCTAAAGCTAAATGGCACAATCTCCCAGAGTTTGCTGATATTACCGTCGCGTGCTGTAAAGTGGAGGGGATGTGGCGGGAAAAGCAATTATGAGACTGCAGCTGAGAAGCAGGCGAGTCGGGGTGGAGACAGACGCCTGGACGGGCGGACGGAGGGGGGGGGGACGTCGCCCCGAGCGCCGAAAACGCAGCTCGACACGATTCAGTCAGAGCGGAGCAGCGTGGCGGTATCAACCTTTTCATCAGCCTCTAAATGCCAGGCCGCATTTACTTTACACACACACACACACACACACACACTGTCAGAGGGGCGGGGGGAGAACTCTCTGTGAAAGACATTTAATAAAATAAGTCGAGCAAACTGATGCCCGCTGAATTTAAAAGTCACAATAAGCCGAGGTGAAGAAGGTGCGGAGACGTTTACTGTCTAAATAAAGATAAAGAGTTTCAGGATGAAGTTCCAACAGCGGGATGCAGTCAGTCCCTCCAGGATTCTCCAGGATTCTCCAGGATTTGGCGGGCTTTTTTTTATTTTTTTTGATGGTTGAGGCCTAAAACGATTTCACTGCAGCCTTTCTAAAATAAATGAAAACATGTTGTGATGTTTTTAGTTGCAGTGAGCCGTCTGAGCTCGATTTTAGGTTGATCTAACAGGTAAAACAGTTTTCTCTGTTGGATCCCAACCTGTGTCCTGAACAGTCAACACTATAAGTACATGGATGAAGCAAACAGCACAGAATCCATCCGCACCTGCTCGAGCTCTCACTGCTCAGCTGAGATGCGATCGAGATGTTTTGGGTTCCTTTGTGAAGATCCATCTTTATCAGTGTCGATGTGTTCAAGAGTTTTTCTTTTTTCCAGGTCTGTGACGCAGAGAGACTCCAGGAACTGCGAACGCTCCGGATTACAACCTGTGGTGAGTAAAATGTTAATTTCTTCTGGTCTCAGAGGAACAATAAGAACATAAGAACATGAGGATGAAACACAACATGCAGTTTAAGATGCAGCAGCTACAAACACCAGAGCTGTTGTGCTTTTGTCCCAAAGCTCAGATCAATTAACATTTAGAGCACCGATTGGATTTTTGATTATCAGAGCTGAAAGGGACTCGATTGATTGGCCGCTGAGGTCGCCCCCTGCCCTGACGATGGCGGATCCAATGAGGGAGGAGGCCTGATGGGGATTGAGTTTCTTAAGTATCTTCTGGCAGCAAGCAGGGTTAGTATCGATTGTAACGCTGCAGAAAACCTCCGTCCAAACAAGTCATTTCATTTCCGTATCAAGCTCCTAAAAAAAATCAGATTTTTCTGAACTCAAGTGGAAAAATGTACCAGTGGGGTCGTAAATTGTCACATTCAGAAGTATTTTACATGTGAAAGAAATATATTTAAAAGAAATGAAACCAAAAAAGTCCAGATTCATAGTCAGTTCAGCTACCACACGCTGCGTTCAAGTTCCTTTAGGAAAGAGCCGGAAATAGTCTGAGATATATATATATATATATATATATATATATATATATATTGTATATATATATATATATATATATATATATACGTTGGGTCTGTTGACTTTGCATCCGTGTATTATTGTTACACAGAAAGAGGACTGTGATTGAGCACCAGGTGATATAAGCAGCAGTGTAACCTGATCAGTCCTCAGGCGGATCAATGGACACACTGACAGTTGGGGCATTTACGTCGTGTTGGTGCGCGTGCTGATTAATTGTTTGTGTTTATATAGGTTTGTTTTTGCTTTGATATGAGCATTAACATGTGGACTGACACAGCCTTCACTGTCACTGTGCTAACTACCACCAACTAGCTCCCAGTCCAGCTACAGACAGCTAATAGGACCAAGCTAGTACAGTTAGCATATGCAGCAGTGCAGCGGTAAGAGACTTCCTGCACTGTAAAAACAAACAGTAACAACAACAACAACAACAACAACAAAATACAGTAAAATAACAGAAAATAACTGACTACAGTAAAATAGTAAAAAATACAGTAATTTTTTTATAATTAAAATACACATTTTAGCTTTAAATCTACATAAAATCTTGTGTAATGTTTTGACTTTTTAATGTTGAATTAAAGATATTTACAGTGTAAAACAATGATCTATAAATCCAGGTGAACTCTGCTATAATACAATAATCAGACTTACATTTACAGCAGAGTGCTGTTATTATTGGATTGTTATTATTTTAATGTGAATGTTAAAAGTTATAGAAGTGTAATAAAAGTCATTATCTGTGAGATTACAGTAATTATTGCTGTTTACACTGATAACAACTGTATTTGGACAGTTTACCTTATACACTGATAAACAACATTTATTCAACTTCCATCATT